TTCAAAGTCCACATGAGTACTTTTGAAGATATGCAACAAATAATCATAAGATTAAGTAAAAAGTGATTATTTTATTGTTTTTCTTAAAGTCACGGTAGGAGCTTCTATTATTTCAGAAGACTACATGTATTTTAAAAACCAAGAGTCAGGAAATATTCTGTAACTGTCAGCTGTCAGCCTTGGAAAATGATTGGGGGAGAAAAAAAGAATTAGGGCTGAATACATCGAAAGTTCGCATAATATAATAGTTGTGTCTGCAGTCAGGCTTTTATTTTCACAAAAGATATCATGGGAAATTAAATATGCTGTAAATTAGCTGGCCATGTAAGTTTTTAAAAGAAAAGACTAAAACTAAAAATTATGGAAAAAGGATTCCAATCAAATTAACCCCAGATATGAGTATCAATATTTCAAAGATAATACCAGAAATTTACAAATTTTTGCAAATATGACAAAACCTCTGCCCCCCAGAGACAAGCATAAGCGCAACAAATTGCACATAATTTCAGGCAGTTATATGACCCTGAAATCTTCCTGAATCTCAGTTATAGGAGAGCTAATTATTCAGTTATCAAGGATCAAAAAAACGATGTCTCAAGTTACTCAGTCAACACACAGGCACTGAGGATATGATGGTGAGCAAAGATTCAGTCAGGTTGAGGGCATAAGAAATCTCATGTTTACATGCCCCTCATGTTAAGCAATTCTTACAAATGCTAAAAACAAGTAAACAGTGCTACAAAAGCTCACAAAAGGAGTAAATGGAAGTCAAGAACCATTTCCCTGGTAAAGCAACAAAGAAATATAGAATGTACTGAGAGGAAAAGGGGCTATGGATAAAAGGAACGGCACATGGAAATAATCTGTGCACATGCTAGGGCTATGACTGACAGCGGGGAAAGCCAGTGTGGCTTAAGTACAGTGCCTGAGGCAGGTGAGGGATGTGGTATAACACTGGAGAGACTGGCCTTCTTTAGATTGGTCTTGACCAAAAGCAACAGGAAACCACATCAATTTTAAGCAAGAAAACACATGATTATGCATGTTTTTAAGATCACACTCCATCTGTACTACAGAGATGAAATTAGAAGATGGGTCAAGTAGTTGGGAGGCAATGACAGTAGTTCTGGGAGATATAACTTGGATTAGGATAGTGGGGATGAAGGAAAGTCTAGAGGGGTGGGATGGGGGGTGGGAGGGAGGCTCAAGAGGGAGGGAGCTGATTCTAGTTGTTGTATGGCAGAAACTAATACAACATTAAAAAGCAATTCTCCAATTCAAAATAAATAAATTTTTTTTAAAAGGGGGAAAAAGTAATGGAAAGACATGAAAGAAAACAGTGAATTTGAACTCTTTTTCATATATATATTTTTCCTTAAAAAAGTTAATTCATTTATTTTAACCAATTTCCTATGAGATTATTTCTCTTAGTTTCCATTAAGCTATTTTATAGTAATGACATTAGCCATTTATCTCTCATATCTGCTGTATTTTTCTTCTAACTGGTTGCCTCATTTCTTCCCCCTGGGTTTTTGAATTTTTATGTAAGCAATATGTTTTTCCCTTTGTAGTCATTCTCCTACTAATTTTAAATTATAACACTTTTCTTCCACCATCACCACTTTCTTTTCTCTTTTTTCCCCTACTTTCATATTATAACATGTAAGATTTACTTCAGCATGGGATGTATAAACTTCCTAATTTGATTAGTTCATTCAATCATTCAGCAAACATTCATAAACCATACATGGCGCAGGTGATAGACCCACACACAAAACGAGAGAAACAGGTAAACAAATGCTTTCAGCGTAGAAAGAGTCCTGGTTGTATAAAGAATGGACACCTAGCTCATACAGAGATGAATTGGTGAGGACATCCTAAAGGTCAAATTTTAACTGTTCTGAAGAGGCCTGGAAACTGGCTAAAAGGAAAAAGAAACAACCTTAAGTGAAGAGTGGAGTAAATGACTGTCACCACTCTTAAGAATAATTTCAAAATCAAATGGGAAACTCACTAGTATCTGCAGTCAATTTCCAAGGACATCACTCTGATTAAGGGCTCTTATACCTCACCCGTAATCTAACAGGAAAAAAGACCACCAAATGCTTTCTGTAACTAGCATGAGTTTAACGTATGGGTATTAATGTAAACCAAATACCTTCAAGAGTTCTCTTCAATATACCCTGTTGTTTACTGTCAAGTGAAGTCCAGACTTATTAACCTGGCAGTAAGACAGTAATGTGGGCCTTAGGAAGCATCACTGCAAACAAAGCTAGTGGAGGTGATAGAATTCCAGTTGAGCTATTTCAAATCCTAGAAGATGAAGCTGTTGCACTCAACAGGCCAGCAAATTTAGAAAACTCAGCAGTGGCCACAGGACTGAAAAAGGTCAGTTTTCATTGGAATCCCAAAGAAAGGCAATGCTCAAACTACTGCTCAATTGTACTTATCTCACATGCTAGCAAAGTAATGCTTAAAATTCTCCAGGTCAGAAATGAACAGCAGCACATGAACCATGAACTTGCAGATGTTCAAGCTGGATTCAGGAAGAGGAACCCGAGATCAAACTGCCAACATCCGCTGGGTCATAGAAAAAGTAAGAGAGTTCCAGAAAAACATCTACTTCTGCTTTATTGACTATGCCAAAGACTTTGACTCTGTGGATCACAACAAACTGTGGAAAATTCTTCAAGAGAGGGGAATACCGGACCACCTGATTTGCCTCCTGAGAAATCTGGAGGTCAGGAAGCAACAGTTAGAACTGGACATGGAACAACAAACTGGTTCCAAATAGGAAAAGGGGTATGTCAAGGCTGTATACTATCACCCTGCTTATTTAACTTATATGCAGAGTACATCATGAGAAACGCTGGGCTGGATGAAGCACAAGCTGGAGTCAAGATTGCCGGGAGAAATATCAACAACCTCAGATATGCAGATGACACCACCCTTATGGCAGAAAGCAAAGAACTAAAGAGCCTTTTGATGAAAGTCAAAGAGCAGAGTGAAAAAGTTAACTTAAAACTCAACATTCAGAAAAATAAGATCATGGCATCTGGTCCCATCATTTCATGACAAATAGATGGGGAAACAATGGCATCAGTGGCTGACTTTATTTTTCTGGGCTCCAAAATCACTGAAGATGGTGACTGCAGCCATGAAATTGAAAGACGCTTACTCCTTAGAAGAAAAGTTATGACCAAGCTAGACAGCATATTAAAAAGCAGAGACATTACTTTGCCAACAAAGGTCCATCTATCTAGTCAAAGCTATGGTTTTTCCAGTAGTCATGTATGNCTAGACAGCATATTAAAAAGCAGAGACATTACTTTGCCAACAAAGGTCCATCTATCTAGTCAAAGCTATGGTTTTTCCAGTAGTCATGTATGGATGTGAGAGCTGGACTATAAAGACAGCTGATCACCGAGTAATTGATGCTTTTGAACTGTGGTGCTGGAGAAGACTCTTGAGAGTCCCTTGGACTTCAAGATCCAACCAGTCCATCCTAAAGGAAATCAGTCCTGAATATTCATTGGAAGGACTGATGCTATGCTGAAATTCCAATGCTTAGGCCACCTAATGCAAAGAACTGACTCATCTGAAAAGACCCTGATGCTGGGAAAGACTGAAAGCAGGAGGAGAAGGTGAGGACAGAGGATGAGAGGGTTGGATGGCATCACCGACTCTATGGACATGAATTTGAGTCAACTCCGGGAGTTGGTGATGGACAAGGAAGCCTGGCATGCTTCAGTCCATGGGGTTGCAGAGTCTGACACGACTGAACAACTGAATTGAATTGAAGACAGTAATACACTAGCTTTATTTCCTACTTCATCTCACAAGTTCTCATCAATAGAGTGTTCTTTACTCCTGTATAACTCAAGGTGTTTCCCACTTCCAGTTTTTCTTCCCCCCATACTTGGAGAATTTAATATGCTTTATATAAAAACATAATTCTCAACCATTGCCATATTTATATTACCTTTTTTCTTTTAACACCAAAAATATTCTTTCTTCGCCTATGTGTCCCTCTAGCTAGAATGCCTTCTTTCCCCTTCATAGAATCACTAAATGCAATCTTGTGTAAGATCCTTAAAGATCAAGACCAAATATCACTCATTTCATTTTGCTTTCTTTGGAAACTTTTCTGCACTAAGTATCTTTTTTTTCTGTAAGCATTATTCTGTATCATTGATGGATGCTGCTTACCCTTTCCTACCTGAATACAGGTTGCTTAAAAACAGAAAGTATGTCTAAAGAAATGTGTAATATGAAAAGTGACTTGCTCAGAGCAGACACATAACCACTGAATAAATACGAAGAACCTCCTTTGCTGGAGCTGCGAAGTTCTCAACTGACCCCCGCTTTCCAGCCTACTTCAAGTCTTCGATGACTTTTGAATTTCTTGAATAGAGCCAGAAGCTAGAAAGGGGATAATGACAGAAACTGTAAGCTAGTAAAATTAACCCGTAATGGTGGAGGTGATGAGGGCAATTGTCTGATAAGACTGGATTTAAGAGAGTTGAGATGAAAACTTGGGGGCAGTAAGTATTAAAATTTTGCTGCAAAGGGAAGCAGAGAAATGGAACAAAAGCCATAAGAAGAAATGAAATACTGAGAAAGCGTTCATCGTTATAAACGATACGGTCTCATTAAAGATGAGCAATTTCCTAGGAAAACCTAAAGCTCTCAACCTCTCAAGGAAAGTACTAACATGAGCTTCGTTTTACAGACGGTTACTGAACAGAGAAATTAAATGATCTTCCCAAGGTCCATGGAAAAAAATTCAAGACAACCGACGGCCAAAGGCATTTCAGCCACCTAGAAACCAGGAGGTTGAAGAGTTGGGTTGGGAGTTACGGCTGTCAGTCCTCAGAGTTCCGGAAAATTCGCGTTAGGCGCGCCTCCCACCTCGTCCCAGACCCTTCCAAAAGACGCAGAAAAGCCGTCCTGAGGCCCCTAAAGGTCAGCCCCACACGTTTCCAGACCTCAGTGCTCACCTCATTATTGAGGTTCAAAGTCCCCGGCTCGGCCATGGTAGCTCTTAGCAGAAGATCCGCCGCTGCCGCACGTGAACTGTAACTGCCGGAACGTTGTCACGCCCCCAACGGCGGCCTCAGCGGCCCAAAAGGCATCCGCCGTCTGCTCAAACCGACGCGTAAGTAAAAGGTGTACCGACTTTGAGGGGAAGAGCGGAAGTGACGAAGTACAACTTCCTGCGTCGAGTGCGCCGTACCGGATTTCCGTGTGCAGGGCCCGGTGGCTGAGAGGGTGTCCTGCAAGTTATCGCATTCAGAAGTTTTTCAAGATGCTGATTTTCTTATACTCTTTTGCAGAATGGGTCCAGCTTTGTAAGAACCTTGTTTTTCTTGTTTCAATGGGAATGAAAGCCTTTCTGAAAGGATCACTTGAGCTACTAGTTTTGCCCCGAATTTTTACCTACCTTTTGTGAAGGTTTCTGCGCTTTTGACGTGCACTTTTGTTAGATTCACCTTTTTTCCTGTCCTCACTGTATAGCTAAAGCATGGCCATATTTTTCTGCACACCGAAAGAAGGTTTAAATTTATATAGAGAACATATAAGCAAAACCAAGATGTACATTTGCTGCTGCTTGTGAAAATGGCTGTTTTGAAGTGTAATATGCATGCAGAGAACCAAGAAGGAGTGAGTCGAATTAAATAACATTATTAATAGTTAACACCTGGTATTATTGAGCTTTATAAGGGGTCCAGTGCTGGGATAAACGCTTTGCGTGAATTATGTCTAAAATAGTAAAATCTAAAGAGATAGGAACTATTCTTATTTTACAGATTTGGAAACTAACTTTTGAGGAGCCAGTTATCTCACCAAGAGTTGCCCAGCTGGAACCCACCACTGCTACAGGACCCCAGGGCTGGTGACATAATTTGAGGGGCCCAGGGCAAAATGAAAATGCAGGACACCACTCCCCCACCTCACCCCAATTCAAAAAGTGGGGGAAAGTTTCTTTTTTTCTTCTGTGGTGTCTTTTGACCTGTCATGTGCTTTTTATTTGGTGTTTAATGTGGTGCTCCCTCAAGCAACAGGGATGCCCTGGGGCTAGTGCACACCTTCCCAGGTGCCTGGGACCCATTTTTGAGGACCCATGGAGGGCGTGCCTGTACTGGATCAAGATGGCAGCAATCGCTAGGCAAGAGATTGGGAAGTAGGAAGCCAGAAAATCTGAATGGGAGTATGTGGTAGGAAATACCACACTGATCTGAGACTAAGTTCTTGACATATGTTCCATTGTCCCACTGGATTTCATTTAACAAAACTCAATTCTCAAACTTATTAAGAATTTCAATACTGTAATGAAAGAAAATTTAAACCAGGCCCACTTCTGAGCTTCTGCCCAAGAAGAGGGTGCTGTGCAGAGTCTGTGCTGTTGACTCCTGATTCTGTATTCAGTTTACAACTTAGTCTTATCTTTGGATTGGTATTCTTTAATGTGTGATTTGGGCACAGTTGGATTAACGCCAACTTCCTGTTTGACTAGTGTTGCATAAAGGTAGTTTTTGTATTCACAAATCATATGCTGAAATTGTAATTATCTTCTTATTCAGCTAGTTCTTCTTATCAAAACTGATCTCCTGGAGTGAAGGGGCTTTTCACCCCAGTTGGGTAGTAGGCACTTCCGTCATAAAATATATAGGAAAGGAGATTTTAAATATAAATGTAGAGCTTTATGGAAAATCTGTCTTCTAATTCAGGAAAAAGGTGTTTTTAGTATGATTCCATAATGCTTTAAGATTATTTTTATTTACAGTTTTCTACTTTATTTTGAAATTTTTTATGTACTGTTTATTCTTTTATGTGATCTGTTCAGTTTAGTTCAGTCACTCAGTCCTGTCCAACTCTTTGTGACCCCATGGACTGTAGTACGCCAGGCCTCCCTGTCCATCACCAACTCCGGGAGCCTACNATTAAAAGCAGCTGGTATGAGACCTCTTTTGTCTTTATTGCAGTGTTCCATTTAGTGGAAGTAAGGATTCCCAAGTGTGTACAATGGGGGCTCAAGTTTTCCAACTTGAAGTTTCTTAAGACTTTCTCAGATTCCACTGTATTTGTCTACTCAGGCTACAACAAAATACCACAGACTGGGTGACTTAAATAACAGAAACTTCTTTTCTTACATTTGCTAGAACTTCTAATATATTCTGGATCATTCCTGATTTTAATGGGAATAGCTTTCACATTTTACCATTTGAAGTGACTTTTTGTGTTTGTTGTGGTGAATAGTTTAGTAAAATTCAGGTAGTTTTCTTGTATTTGTCTAGGCTTTTTGTTGATATGTAGAAATGGTTGATGAAATTCATCATTTGCTTTTTCAATTTCTTTTGCTTTGATCATATAGTGTTTTTTTCCCTTTAAGTCATTTCCCCCACATATGTTCTAATTTTATTGTGGCCTTTAGAAAGGTATAGGTGTGGACCTTAGCATCAGGCCTGCCCGTATGTGGACCCTAGCAGTGGGCCTGCTCATCTGTGTCCCGTGCACAGCCCTCACTAGCCATCCTGCCTGTGGACCCTGCCAGTACGCCCACCCAGGATCTCTGGACAGTTTGCCTGGTGAATGACTTTCCTGTGAAGCCAGATTGAAAAGTCTGTTAGAGGACAGTGCAAGGCTATTATGATAATGGAAATCAAGGAAACATGATAGCACCAAAGGAGCAAAATAAAGATCAAGTAACTGACCCTAAGGAAATGGTGACTAGCAATTTTCCTGACAAAGAATTCAAAATAATCATCTTATATTAACCTCAGTGAGCTAAAAGAGAATAGAGACATAAAACAAAATGGCATCAAGAAAACAATATATTAATAAAATGAGAAATTCAACATCCTTTCATGATAAAAACTCTCAACAAATTGGGTATAGCAGAAATGTACCTCAGCATAATAAAATCCATGTGTAACAAGCCCACAGCTAACAGCTAAAAGGTTGAAAACTTTTCCTCTGATGTCAGGAATGAGACAAGCCCACTCCCACCACTCCTATGCAACACAATACTGGAAATCCTAGTCAGAGCAATTTGGCAAGAAAAGGAAATAAAGGGCATCAAAAAGAAGAAGTAGAATGATTTCTGTTTGCAGATGACATCTTATGTGTGGAAACCTTGAAAATTCCACACACACAAAAACTGAACTAATAATACATTCTGTAAAGTTTCAGGACAAAAATCAACAAATAAAAATTGTGTTTCTGTACACTTAGAATGTTCTATCCCAAAAGCAAATTAAGAAAACAATCCCATTTAAAATAGCAGAAGAAAGAATAAGGTATTTAAAATAAATGTAATTAAGGAGGTGTGAAACTTGTACACTAAAAAGTATAAAACACTGATGAAAGAAATTAAAGCAGGGCAAATAAATGAAAAGATGATCCTGTGTCTATGGACTGGAAAAATAAATACTGTTAAAATGCCCATACTACCCAAAGCAAATTCAATGCTTTTAAATAGAAGTAGAAAAAAAAAATCCTAAAATGTATATGGAATTATTAAAGACCCTAAATAACCAAAACAGTTTTGAGCAAGAATGATAAACCTGGAGGCATCACCCATCCTTTTCAAAATACGCTACAAAGCTACAGTAATCAACAGTATGGAAACAGTGTGGTAAAAACAGGTGCATGTGTATGTGTGTGTGCACACACACACACGGAACAGAATAAATATTCCAGGAATAAGCCCACACATATAAAGTCGATTGATTTTTTTTTTACAAAGATGCCAAGAATATACACTGGGGAAAATATTTAAAAAATAAAAACTCTCTTTTAAAACTCTCACAATAATTGGTGTTGTGAAAACTGTATGTCTACCTGCAAAAAAGACCTTAAACCACAAAACTCCTTAAACCAACAAAACATAAGGAAAAAGCTTCTTGACACTGGCCTTGGTAATGATTTATTGGATATGACACCTAAAAGTTCAGGTAAGTATAGATAAGTAGTATTACAGCAAACTAAAAAGCTGCAAAACAAAGGAAATCATCAAAATTAATAGGTAACTCACAAAATGGGCGGAGAGGGCAATAGCAACCCACTCCAGTACTCTTGCCTGGAAAATCCCATGGATGGAGGAGCCTGGTAGGATGCAGTCCATGGGGTCGCAAAGAGTCGGACACAACTGAGCGACTTCACTTTCACTTTTCACTTTCGTGCATTGGAGAAGGAAATGGCAACCCACTCCAGTGTTTTTGCCTGGAGGATCCCAAGGATGGCAGAGCCTGGTGGGCTGCCGTCTATGGGGTCGTACAGAGTCGGGACATGACTGAAGCAACTTAGCAGCAGCAGCACAAAATGGGAAAATTTCAGACCATACATCTGATAAAGGGTTAATATTTGAAAGTTATACGACTCGATACCAAAAGGAAAACAGCCCAAGTTAAAAAAAAAATGGGCAAAGGACCTGTACAGACATGTCTCTGAAAAAGACATACAAATAATAAGCATGTATGTGAAAATATGTTAACCATCAATAATCATACAGGAAACACAAATCCAAATCACAGTGAGATATCACCTTGCATCTGTTAGGATTTTTATAAATAAAAAACAAAAGATAACAAATATTGGTATTGATGTGTAGAAAAAGGAACACTTGTACATTGTGGGGATGTAAATTGATGCAGGCAATGTTTACTGCAGCATTACTCACAGTTGCCAAGACAAGGAAGCAACTTAAATGTTCATCAGTGGATTACTGGAAAACGAAAATGCGATTCACACAAGCAGAAAGGTATTACTCAGGTTTTAAAAAGAAGGAAATTCTGCCATTTGTAATAACATGGTTGAACCTGGAAGACATTATACTAAGTGAAATAAGCCAGACACAGAAAGACAAATAATACATCATTTCAGTTCAGTCACTCAGTTGTGTCCTACTCTTTGTGACCCCATGGACTGCAGCACACCAGGCTTCCTTGTCCCTCACGAGCTCCCAGAGCATGCTCAAACTCATGCCCATTGAGTCGGTGATGCCATCCCACCATCTCATCCTCTGTCATCCCCTTCTCCTCTTGCCTTCAATCTTTCCCAGCATCAGGGTCTTTTCAGATGAGTCAGTTCTTTCCATCAGGTGGTCAGTGTATTGGAGTTTTAGCTTCAACATCAGTCCTTCCAATGAATATTCAGGACTGAT